TCAAAGTCATAGGCTTCATTCTGTTTAAACACTGTAAATATTTCTTGTTTACAAACATATAGGAAAATTAAGGTTAATGACCTGATGCTGGAGGAATCATGATCTTTGAACCATCTGTGTGTTCAGATCTCATGATACACAAGTACATCCAGCACATTTGTGAGTTCTGTATTCTCTCCCACTTCCTTGTCTTCTTCCAACTACTGCTTCTCTTCTTTTTCTGAGAGTTGTATTCATTTAGTGAATCACTCTCTACAAGGTTCTCAACTCTCTGGAAGAGCATTTTAAGGAGACCTCAGCACACACTCTCAATGCTTGAGACTCTTTCAAGATTACAGGATACCACCTGAGTACTCCAGGCAAAGGTGTCAAATCTTCAAATACCTGATGGTCTGCTCAACACACTACTCCCATGAACAGATGGCTTTTGTTGTAGTATTTTTCTGCCCTTTTCTCAGGTTGTTTAGAGTATTGAGTAGATACATCTTCGAGGGATATCCTTTGTCTCCTTGAACTCAGCCACATTGTTTTGGATAGGAGAGTAAAAGTTTTTGAATGAAGAGCCGCAGCAGTCTGGGGTTTATTGAAAGTTGACAGAATCATGGCAAAAGCCAGAAAAATTAGTGCACCCATGAAAGAACCTCTTCTTGCAGTTGCAAACCAGTTAAACATTGAAGGAATGGAATAAATTGCACTCGCTGATTACTAGGTAGCTTGTTGGGCATTGGGTTCAGTTGATGATGCCTTGTACATGGGCAATCCACTATCCTCTTTTTCTAAAATGCTCCAATGTCTGAAATTAAGTTACTATCCAACTATTGAAATTATTACACCATTATCATAAGCAATGTCCTTGCTCATCTGGAAGTAATTACATTGAGTATAGTAAATTCTGGGGCCCTCTATGGGGACCTTCTGCTTATGGAAGCTGTGTGTCAGCTACTGGAGGTTGCTGCTGGCCCTCAGTTTGCTGACATATTTTATCCTCAATTTTTCTGCACTTTATCGTAGCAGCCCCAGTAACAATAACACAGTGGCACAGTGATTAGCACTGCTGCCTCATAGTGCCAGGGATCCGGGTTTGATTCCAGCCTTGGGCGACTGTCTATGTGGAGTTTGCACATTCTCCCAGTGTCTGCGTGGGTTTCCTCCGGGTGCTCCGGTTTCCTCCCACAGTCCAAAGATGTGCAGGTTAGGCTGATTGGCCATGCTAAATTGCCTGTAGTGCTCAGGGAGGTGTAGATTAGGTGGGTTATAGAGGGATGGGTCTGGATGGGATGCTCCCAGGTTTGGTGTGGACTTGTTGGGCTGAAGGGCCTGCTTACACACTGTAGGGATTCTATGATGCCAACATCAAGGATGAAAATCCAAACCATAACCTTGAATCTTTTTTATTGTTTTAAAAAACAACTCAAAATAATTTTTTTTCATGACTGCATGTTATAAAAGTCATATAAAAAGTTATTGTCGACCAATAGATTTCCAATTTACATATATTGATACATATTTATTTTATGTATATAAATATATACATATAGTGATATCACAGAGCTGTGTGTATTTTCTGCATTCCTCAAAATTGTTTTTTGTCTTTTTCACATATGTTTTGAAGTTAATTACGATAAATTAAAAGGTTAATTTTTGTAGCTGCTGCCTAATTTACTAATAGTCCATGAGAACTTTTATCTTAACATGTCATTGGGTTTTCTTACATTTTTAAAGGGAGACAAAGAAACAAGTCACATTTCTGAAAGAACTGAATTTATTGTAGAAAGAATTGACCCAGTGAGTCACCACAAGCAGAATTTCAGCTACAAGTTTTTGTCTTTCCTGTTGACTCTTAAATTGCCTTTTAAGCTTTAATCTTTTCTGAATGACTGCATGTAAAAGGTAGACTCAAATAAATCATGTGGTCTACCTTAGTTGTAGAAGCAAAATACAAAAAAGTAACACTGCAAACATAAATTTCATATCAAAGATGAACCATGAATATATTATTTTTTAATCAAAAATATATGTATAAGAGACTATCACATTAGTTTACTGTTTACAACCTGGTCACTTTAACCTTTAATTGTGAAATAAGTTATGATCACAGAAAAGTAGTTAAAGAGATTTCAAAAATGTTTTAATTCTTTTCCTTTTTTTTCAATCAGTACAAAAATATGAATAACTGTAATGATAGGAATCAGTAGCTTATTATGTACATTGTATTTCATTCATCATGTTTAAAGGGACGATTTAAGGATGGGGCAGGTGTTAAAGAAAAATTAAAGTGCTTTCTAGCTTGTTTAAAGATTTTTGGTGAAAGATTGATCCATAAAATAAAACTTTATATCCTCAGTATTTTAATAGAGCATTGCATAATTTTTAACTTTGATTTATGAGCTAACTAATCAGAAAATGGAACTTGAGTAACTTCTTCACACTGAAAAGTCTGCATCTTACACAATAGATTGCCATTGAACTGAAACCTTGAGCAAAACCTTTTAGACTGATGTGTATGCAGGTAGCTGGGGATGGTAATTTAAAACAGTGGGTAGCATTCCTACTGCCAACGCACTTAGCCCAGCCATTAAACATTTATATGGATGGTGTGCAAAGCCTAGGCTGACCCGCAAACCCTCGGTCCAATTAAGGTCAGAAAGTGGTCAATTATTAAGTAATTACCACTTCCCATCCAACTACAATTTTGAGGATAATGGGAAGGTGTAAGGGTCAAGGACAATGCCTATCAGGTAAGCCCGCTCAGGCTCTGGCCAGAAGATGAGGAGGGAGGGCTGCCTCCGTCACTGACCCTCTTTCTAGATCATGTGTTCCCTGATCCAAAAGTCTGTCCAATCAGGAGTTTCCTTCAAACCTAGCTGTTAACCAGTTACCTATTCCCTAGTGCATTCTCTATCTAACACCTTGACCAATTGGAGTTCACTTGCCAATCAGTTAGCACCATCTTCCCTTGCAGTATAAATTGTTGTTGCCAGGATACTGAAGGAGGCAAAGAAGGAGATTGCTGGAGCCTTGACAGAGATCTTTGCATCCTCTATAGCCACAGGTGAGGTCCTCAAAGACTGAGAAACCAATGTTGTTCCATTGTTTTAAAACAACAGGGATAATCTGGGAAATTATAAGCTGGTGAGCCTTACATCAGTGGTTTGAAAATTATTGGAGAAGATTCTCAGGGACAGGGTTTGCTCACATTTGAAAAATAATGGACTTTCTAGGAATAGTCAGTATGACTTTATAAATAGGAGGTCGTAGCTCACAAAGTTGATTGAGTTTTTTGAGGAAGTGATGAAGATGATTGATGATTGTAGGGCAGTGGATGTTGTTTACATTGACTTTACTAAAGCATTTAACAAGCTCCCTCATAGTAGGCTGATCCAGAAGATTAACTTGCATGGGATCCATGGTAAATTGGCAAATTGGATACAAAACTGACTTGGTCATAAAAGATAGACAGTAATTGTGAAGGGGTGCTCCGCAAGGATCAGTGCTTAGATCTCTATTGTTTTAATATATATAAATGACTCAGACAAAAACGTAGGTGGTCTGAATAGTAAGTTTGCATGAAAATTGGTGGAGTTGTGGATTGTGAGGATGACTATCATAGGATGCAGTGGAATATAGATCAGTTAGAAAGTTGGGCGGAGAAATGGCAGATGGAGTTTAACCTGAATAAGTGTGAAGTGATGCATTTTGGGAGGTCAAATGCAAGAGTAAAGTGTACAGATAATGGCAGGATCCTTGGGAGTATTAAAATACAGAAGGATCTTGGAGTCCAAATTCGTAACTCACTGAAAGTGACAATACATGTGAATAAGCTGGTAAAGAGGCATAGCGCATGCTTGACTTCATTGTTCGGGGTACAAAAGAAGGCAAGTCACATTGCAGCTGTATAAAACTTTGATTAGGCCACATTTGGAGTGTTGTGTGCAGTTCTGGTCCCCATAATATAGGAATGATGTGGAGTCTTGGAGAACATGCAAAAGAGGTTTACCAGGATGTTGTCTAGATTGGAATGTATTGGCTATAAAGAGAGGTTGGATAAACTTGAGATAACAAGGTGTAGAGCTGGACGAACACAGCAGGCCAAGCAGCATCAGAGGAGCAGGAAGGCTGATGTTTTGGGCCTAGACCCTTCTTCAGAAATGCATTTCCTACTATCCTTGGATAAACTTGAGTTGCTTTCACTAGTGTGTCAAATGCTGAGGGAGTGACCTGATAGAAGTATATAAAATTATGAGGGGCATGGACAGGGGTGAATAATCAAAGTTTCTTTCCTTGGTTGGAAACGTCAAATTCTAGGGGGCATAGGTTTTAGGTGAGAGGGGAAATGTTTAAGGGAGATGTGTGAGGAAATCTTTTTACACACAGGGTGGTAGGTGCCCAGAATGTGCTGCCAGAGGAGGTGGTAGAAACAGAAACTTTGCTAATGTATAAGAGGTATTTTGACCAACACATACAGGCAGAGAATAGAGGGAATACGGACCATGTATAGATAGATGGGATTAGTTTAGAATGGCATCATAGTTGGCTTAGACATAGTGGGCTGAAGGGTGCTGTACTGTTCTATGTTTTTTTTGAAATGTGGTTATCTTGCAATTCTTTCCTAATGCAGAACAAAAACACTTCAATGGCGTGTTTCTTTTTCCAGTAATACTCAAACTCTGTACTACCAAGCAAATAACTGTTGTCATAGTTGGAAAAATGGTTCCTTGTGTAAAGTACAAATTCACTATTTCTACCAAATAAGGCACTATATGAACAGTTTAATATGCGTAAACACGAGTGTGATACAAAATCGTAGGAGTGTATGAATTAAACTAAAAGATATGATTTGCATGGAGTTGTGTGATGTTTTTTACATCCGTGTTTAAATACACATCTTTAAATTTCAGTGCATGTGTAAAATTACAATAATGTGAGCCTTTAATCCCATAATCTTCCATCTTTCAATCTGTTAACATTTTCTCTCTATTAACCTTCCTTCATCTTTTCAGATGCAGGATGCCATGGGCTATGAGCTACCTTGGGTCTATTTTGTGAGTTTGGTCATCTTTGGATCCTTCTTCGTTCTAAATCTGGTTCTTGGTGTCTTAAGCGGGTAAGCTGTCAGTTAAGTATCTTTGTTGCTCCCGCTATCCCATCAAATGATCTTTTTCTTCACCACATTCTGCCCTGGAAAGATGCCATGACAAGTATCTCCTAGCCATTAACTAGTAGAAATAAGTGACATCTATCCAATTTTACACTTTGGCTGCGATGAACCTTTTAGCTACCAGATGATGTCATTGTTATGAGATTGTTGTGCTGATGATATGCTTGCAGTCCCCTTAAAGTCTTGCTGTGCTGTGATGCTGAGGAAAGCTCAGTTATGTGTGTGAGCTGGGCAGATCTTTTGCAACAGAAGGGAAAATGATTTGCAGGATGACTTAATTAGGCTGGATACAACTTTCGGGCATTCATGGAATACAAATATGTTACAAGTATGAACCTAGAGTTGAGATGTAAAGATAAAGTCAGCAGTTTGTTTGTAACACATTGATTTTTGTGGCAGCCTGTGGTGGGTTCATACTTGTAATGTATTTGTATTCCATGAATGCTCATTAGTGTAAAATATTTTTTAATGAATGAAAATGTTTCACATTTGTTTAAATATGGCAGGAGCCAGACTAGTTTGTGAATTTCTGTTCTGAGGTAAGTGGTTTCTTTTGCTGAACTCTGTGGCACAAGGGATGGGAGTAAGAGAATGGCTGCTTACATGGAGGCAAAAACCAGCAAGGGCGACTCAGTGGTAAAGGAGTATGGCATAGAATGGGGCTGGGGGCACAAATGAGTGGAATAGGGATCTAAGGATAGACAGATGATGCTATAGGGAATCAGTCGATTTATTTTGTTGCTCTTATCATTGTATGTTCATTTTTGCGTTTAACTTGGTCCTTTGTGTACTCACCAAATATAACCAGCATTACAGTAATGTTTTCTTGTAATTGTTATTTCTATGTTGCCATTAACCTAATATTATCTATTCTTTTGATCATAAAATCATGTACGTGTAAATGACAAGTGAGAATCTCAGTTGCATTACTGAAAATAGGTGATTGTGTAATTGAAAATATATTCTTCTTTCTTTGTACCCCTACATATTGTTTAAGAATAAATGGGCAAGTGTCACTTTAATTAATTACCAGATAATCACACAAGATACAAAGACAAGTGAAGCAAACATTACCATAGATTTTGCTCCAGTGTTACCTTAATTAGGCCTTACCATCTCTGGGCAGCCCACTGAGATCATTATTTTCCTGAAGCAGATCTTTGATATGGTATCAGGATATTTTAATATCTGAAGTCAAGTTGCATTAAATCAGCAATTTAAAAGCAAGGCTATCAATCAGAGCACTATTAGTATTCCCTGACATTAGTTTTGAGAAAATTGCACTCTTCGGTATATATTGTGAATTCTAATGATTTGGCCTTGATGACAGAGGGTACAATTTCAAAATTTGCTGATGGTACATTTAGAAATGTGCTAACATTTAGAAATAATGCAAATCTAGGGACTAATGTAAACATGGCATTATAAGATATTTAATATTGTAACTAAATTCTGGAAAAGTTAACAAGAGTTAAAGTAGATAAATCTTTTGGACATGATGAAAGGAGGTCGCAGTAGATTTAATAGGTGCATTGGCAGTCATCTTTTAAAATTCTATCGACCTTGGAGTGATTCCTGCAGATTGGGAGGGGGCGCAGAGGAGATGTAACCCAACTGTTTAAGAACAGAGGGAGAGAGAACACAGAGGACCACAGACCTAAAAGAAATTTAAAGAACTGCAGATGCTAGAAATCAGAAACAAAAACAAAAATTGCTGGGAAAACTCAGCAGGCTTGGCAACATCTGTGGACAGAAGACAGAATTAATTCTGAAGAAGGGTCACTGAAAACCGAATTGTTAACTCTGCTTTCTCTCCAAAGATGCTGCCAGACACGCATCTAGAGACCTAATTGATCTCAGTTCAACCTCAAAGGTATGGGAAGAAAGTGAGAATATGGCATTGACATTGAGAATCCGTCATAATAATATTGAGTGGTGGAGTGGGCTGGGTGGGCCAATTGGCCTACTTTTGCTCCTTTTTTTTGGATTTCTATGTAGGGAAAATGCTAGAGTCTGTGATATGTTAACAGGAGTCCGAGGAAACAGTAGTAGGATTGGGCAGAGTCAAAGTGGACCTATGAAAGGGAAATCATATTTAACAAACATTTTGGGGTTTTGTGGATGTAACTCACAGAATAGATAACATTAAACCAATGGATATAATATATTTAGTTTTTCAGAAAGCTTTGAGGTCCCACACAAGATTATTAAAAAAAAGAGAATGCATGTGTCTGGGAGAAGTATGAAGTCATTGATGGAGAACTCGTTAATGGACAGAAAATAGAGAATGGAAATGAATGGATCATTTTCAGGTTGGCAGGTTGTGACCAGTGCCGCAAAGATAAGTGCTTTGATGTCAGTTATTCGTGATCTATGTCAAAGTATTGGATATGGGGATTAAATATAATATATCCAAGTTTGCATGTGACACAAATTAGGTGGAAGTGGCTGTGAGAAGGATGCAAAGTCAAAGGGATTGGGAGATTAGGCAGAAAATTGGCAAATGAAGTACAATGTATTGAAATGTAAGGTTACCCACGTTGTAGGAAAATCAGAAATGCGGAGTGCTTCTTAAATATTGACAAGCTCAGAAGCATTGAACTTCAGAGAGATTTGATTGTCGTAGTTCAGGAGTCATGGAAAGACAACATACTGGTATCATGAGCAATTGAAAAAGCAAATAGCATGTTGGCCTTTAATGCAAGAATATTTGTGCCTTCAAATAACTGTGTCTTTCTACAATTACATGCAGCTTTGGTGAGATCATGTTTGGAGTATTGTGAGCAGTTTTGGTAATCTTACCTTTGGAAATATACACTTGCTATAGATGGAGTGCAACTAAAGTTCACCAAACTAATTATTGGAATGGAGACATTTTCCTATGTGGCGATATTAAACAGACATATGTTCTCTGAAATTTAGAAGAATGAGAGGTAATGTCATTCAAACAAACAAATGCTTACAGAAAATTCTTACAGAGGATGGATATTTCCCCTGGTTGTGGTGTCTATAACCAGGGGATACAGTCTCAGAGTATTTGTCAAACCATTTAGGACTGAGATGAAGAGGAATTTCTTTGAGAATCTTTGGAATTCTCCATCCTAGAGATCTATGATAGCGCTATGTGTCCTTTCTAAAAATCAGTCATAGGTCATGAGCATTATTGGCTAGCACCAGTATTGATTGTGAGTCTGGACTTGCATATAGGCTAGACTCGTATCTAATGACAGATTTACTAAAATGGCTTGAGTGAACCAATCATCAGTGGTTACACAGTCATCATCAGACTAGCTTCTAATTCTAGATTTTATTATATTCAAATTTCACTGTCCACCATGGTGGGATCTGAGCACATGTCACTAGAATATTAGTTTGAGGAAGGGTCACCGTACCCGAAATGTCAACTCTGATTTTTTACTCACAGATGCTGTCAGACCTGCTGAGCTTTTCCATTAACTTCTGTTTTTGAGCAGATACGTGCTTAATGAAATTTAATTCAGAGAAGTGTGAGATAACTGTTTGGAAAAAATAGAGAAATAAGAATGAATATAGGCTAAACACTAACATATTAGAGCAGCAGAGAGAATTGGAGATCCAGATATATAGATCACTAAAAATTGGGAAAGACAAATTTTAATTTTTATAAGAAAAATTGAATACAGAGCTAGAACTGTTGAATAAAGAGCTGAATTAATAAACAACTTTAATTAGAGCACAGTTAGAATACTGGACATCTTACTTTATGAAACAAATCGATAATGGAAAGGGCTGAAATTCACTAAAATGATACAAGGGATACGAGATATTGATTTTGAGGAAAGACTGGAGAAATACAAGAACATAAGAATTAGGAGCAGGAATAGGCCATCCGGCCCCTCAAGCCTGCCCCACCATTCAATAAGATCATGGCTGATCTTTTTGAGACTTAGCTCCACTTACCTGCCCGCACATCATAACCCTTAATTCCTTTACTGTTCAAAAATTTATCTAGCCTTGCCTTAAAAACATTCAGCAAGGTAGCTTCAACCGCTTCACTGGGCAGGGAATTCCACAGATTCATAACCCTTTGGGTGAAGAAGTTCCTCCTGACCTCAGTCCTACATCTGCTTCCCTTTATTTTGAGGCTATGCCCCCTAGTCTTAGTTTCACCTGCTAGTGGAAACAACCTCCCTGCCTCCACCTTGTCTATTCCCTTCATAATCTTATGTGTTTCTATAAGATCTCCCCTCATTCTTCTGAATTCCAATGAGTATAATCCCAGCCTACTCAGTCTCTCCTCATAATCCAACCCTCTCAACTCTGGAATCAACCGAGTAAATCTCCTCTGCACCCCCTTCAGTGCTAGTATATCAAACAAGGAGACCAAAACTGCACACAGTACTCCAGGTATGGCCTCACCAGGATCCTATACAGCTGCAGCTTAGCCTCCCTGTTTTTAAACTCCATCCCTCTAGCAATGACAGACAAAATTCCATTTGCCTTTCTAATCACCGGCTGCACCTGCAATCCTACTTTTAGCAATTCATGCACAAGAACACCCAAGCCCTTCTGCACAGCAGCGTGCTGCAATTTTTTACCATTTAAAACATAGTCCATTTTGCTGTTATTCCTACCAAAATGGATCACCTCACACTTATCAACATTGTACTCCATCTGCCAGACCTTTGCCTACTCACTTAGACTATCTGTATACCCTCTGTAGACTTTCAGTGTCTTCTGCACACTTTGCTGTACCAGTCATCTTAGTGTCATCTGCAAATTTTCACGCACCACACTTAGTCCCCAACTCCAAATCATCTATGTAAATTGTAAACAATTGCGGTCCCAACACTGATCCCTGAGGCACACCACTAGCCACTGACCGCCAACCAGAAAAACACCCATTTACCCCTACTCTTTGCATTCTACTAGTCAACCAATCCTCTGCCCATGCGAATACATTACCT